TCTCTCTCTCTCTGCCAATGCTTATATTTTGGTAACTATTTTATATCTATCGTGAATAGCAGTTATTTGCTAATTTTGACTCAGGAGCTCAGGTAGAAGGGGTAAAATTGTTTAGTAACCCAGGGCTGAAAGTGTTAATTAACGTCGTCGAGGTATTAATGTTTATTCCTCAACCACACCTGGTGAGTCATTGCCATGCCTCAAGGTTGGCTTTCCTACGCAGCGTTTTGACGGAGGGCTTGATTTTGGCACGGAATGTTAGGGAAGCTTTCCCTTGCCTTACCATCACTCCTCCCATTTCTTGGGGTAAGCACCATCGCGGTTATGGAAGGTTGTCGAGTTTCCTCAGCGAGTGTTGGTCGGCCTTGAAGCTCCTGTTACCTTTGTCAGTTACGTATTGTACCGTTAATTAGGAATGATCCTCTTTGTGACCGGCTTGGCTTATCGGCATCAGAATTGCGCTTTTTTTGGTCTTGGGCGCCAGCGGCGGATTATTGCAGCAAACCTGAGTTTTCGCTTAGCTTGTTGTTCACGATGACGGTCGTCTTCGAGTATAGAATCCAGAGGTTAGCAGTGAATATTTCGAAGACAGTAGGGAAGCGTTGTTCAGGTTAGCAGTGGATATCCCGGTAAAAGTAGCTGAGCGTAGTTCTTCCTTCTGTTCCTCTTCGCCTGACAAGCTGGCTCTGGACATTCGGATAGAGTAAACAAAATGGCCGCCTTTATACACGATGGATACACTGTTCTGCGTCTTCTGATTGGTTAACCTTCTATTGGTGGACTATAAAGTGAGTCAAGTCATTTTGACTGGCTCACTAGTTATATATATATATATATATATATATATATATATATATATACAAAAAAAAACTGTAACATAGCTGGCGTTTAATTCGGAACATGCCACCTCTCAATGACGTAATCTACAGATGGTGCGAGACAGATTTGCCAGACTGTCATCGGTGTGACCTTGGCTTAGAGGAAACGGCTTCGCACGCCTTCTGCCATTGTCTTCAGGTGCGCCCTTTCCATCGACCTCGCGTACGCGTTTGACAATGTGTCGCCCCTGTTCTTCGGGGTAAAATGCATGGTTTTTTACGTTGCTAGCCGTGGTAAGAATGGTGGTGTGGACATTGCGGAAGGAGGGAATCTTGCAAGACGAACGTTATTCAAGATCTGGTTCTCTTTAAGCATTAGGTTATGGTAAAAATCCGATCTGATCGAAAGCGTTTGATTTCGGCAGATTTCAGCGAAAGTTGGTTGACTGAGGAGAACCTGGTTCGCAAGGACGGGGCGAGCCTTGATTTTCTCTTTTAATCCCCTTAAGCGCAACCTGTGGACCCTCCCCTGATTAAGACACTATTTTGTTGTTGTTCCCGGCTCTCTTTTTTGTTATGACCCATGTCGAGATTCCCAATCTCCCCAGATTGTTTTTGCCCATGTTTTAACCTCGGCTGGGTCACTCTTTGATTTTTCCCATTGCGTCATTTATTTTTACCCTCCCTATTTCATTAGTGAGTGTGCTGCTTGATTCTGTCTAGCAGTTGAACACAGCGGCCTCTCTAATTATTTTGAAGGGTGGACGGGATTATTTTTTATTTTATTTTGAGTTACAGTTTTAAGTTTGTTTTTGGATTTCATCTCCATCCCATTATTTCATGAAAGATGAAATTTTTATATATTTTTGTAAAAAAAAAACGGACAGATTTTTTTTTATCTCTGTTATGGTCCGGTTCCTTGTACCACGGTGATAGTCCAAAGTAAAACCAATAAAAAAGAACGCGAACACAGGTATGGAATAACACAGATATATTACAAACAGGAATATATATAGAGAAGTAGAAAGTGTTAGTATAAACAATCAGGTTTAGTAGAGAGAAGAATGTAGTCCCGGCTAGCAATCACTATTTCAATGTCTTGCAGTAATTGTCTGAACGCGACTCTGTTTCGGACTGCATCTGGCTCGACTCTTGACTCGACTTGATCTACTGACTTGACTTGAACTACTGACTCCATTTGAACTACTGATTCGACTTGAACTACTGACTCCATTTGAACTACTGACTCCATTTGAACTACTGATTCGACTTGAACTACTGACTCCACTTGAACTACTGACTCCACTTGAATTACTGACTCCACTTGAAATATACTGACTCCATTTGAACTACTGACTCTACTTGAACTACTGACTCGACTTGAAATACTGACTCCATTTGAACTACTGACTCGAGCTACTGACTGAGGCGCAATATTTATTAAGTATGGAATAGTCCATTATTATTATTATGGGTAAGATCCTATAACAATCTCATAGGTTTTTGTAGGTCCCATATGAATATGCGGTATTTTGGAGTATGCATAATTGAGCGGTGATGAATAAATTCTTTTGTTGAACAAGTAAATTGTAATGAATGAATGAGTCGATTTAACTAGGATTAAGATAGATAGTGAAGACCAGCTCCTTTCCTTTCTCCCCTCGGCCTTGTGCCACAATTTTGTAATATTACAAAATTACTATTCTTTCCAGATTCCTTCGGAAGTATACTGGTCAAACTCTCTGCCTCTGGGCAGAGAGGATCCCCAGACGATGCTATGTCGAAGGGCAGAGTCTCGTCTCGGGAGACAGCTACCCGATCCCATTTTTAGGTGGTCTAAGTGGAATGCTTGACCGAGTTTTGGGTTTGGATATCTCACAATATACTTGGCCTTGTGTCGCATCCGACCGCGTGGGGCGGTCACTGTTGATCTCAACGTTAACTCTTCTTGTCTCTCCACTATTGCTATACGTTCACTCTGTCCATTCTACTACGATACAGATTAAGATTCTCTTTCAATCTATTCTCTTTTTTCTATACTATTTGGCAATTACTACTTGAACAAGTATTACTAGTGCGGGTATTATTGGAAGGCTTAACTACTAGTACCGGGATCTACGAATCTCACGAATATAACGAGAATTTTTAGAAGTTATAACGAACTTTCGACTGACATAGAAAAAAGTGACAAGCGAAGCCGTCCAACATCATAAAAGGTAAGAGATGGATTCTTACTTTTCTCAAAGGCATTCGTGGGAAAGCAAAGTTTACGAACTTTTTTTTTTCTTTTTTGAGAGCCAACCTACTGAGCGGGTTTTAGATACAGTTCAAGAGTATGAACAATCTGATACACGTACGATTTTGAATTGAATCCGAACTATCAAATACGGCTAGAAAGTTCCTGATATTTAACCCATAGGGTAATGTTTTATAAGAGAAAGTGTCGATGCCGACACTGTGGTTTGAAACTAGATCGCCAGTGAGTAACACGAGCGATTCCCTTATTAAGTAGATCACGTGATCATAAAGGAAATGAATAAACAGGAAGTAGCGTGATTATTATACGATTCACTGTTCAGTCTTTTTGTCTCTCCACTTTTGCTATATGTTCACTCTCTCTGTTACTCTACGGATTACGAATCTATTCCAATCATTATAATATTTGGCAATTGCTACTTGAACAAGTATTACTAGTGCGGATATTATTGGAAGGCTTTACTACTAGTACCGGGATCTATGGCGTCTCAAATATAACGAGTATTTTTGGAAGTGATAACAAGCTTTTGCTTGACATAGCAAAAGTGGCAAGCGAAGACGCCCAATATCACATAAAAAAAGAAATTAACAGTAGAATAAAATTGATAGAGTTCCCTTGAATGTATAATGAAAGATAAGCTACTTCAGAAATGACTAGCTTCTGAATGGTTGGCCGTATCAACAAAACAGGTGGTTGAAGAAAAGATTGTGCAAGATTAAAGTAAATTCTATAAAACAACTTCAATTAAGTAAGCCATTTTGTTGTTGTATAAGAGTAAGTCTCGTTGCCGACACTGTGATTTGAAACTAGATCGCCAAGGAATCACACGGGCGATTCCATTATTAAGTAGACCTTTTTTTTTTTCTTTTTATGTGCCATGTCGTTTCTGGACGTAGGCGATCATAGCTCCCCACCTCCTTCTATCCCTTGTAGCTCTCAGCAAGCTCCTTCCGTCTACTTCTTCCCTCAGACCACGTTCTGTCATCCACTTGCTGAAGGCCGATAGGTATGTCACGCACTGCTTTCACTTTTCCCTCTTTCTCTCTATTCGACCTGTGAGTATCAGATTCTCCAGGCCCTCCTTCCTCATTATGTGTCCCAGAAACTTAGTGATAATTCCTCAGTTGATAATATAATAATTATACGATAATGTTGATATCATCTGCTAACATAATGACAATATTCTTTTTTTTTATGTGCCATGTCTTTTAAGGACGACGGCGATCATGGCTCTCCACATCCTCTATCCCTTGCAGCTCTCAACAATTTCCTTCCATCTGCTTCCTCCTCCGGACTACTTTCTGTCATCCACTTGCTTAAGACCGCTAGGTATGTCACGGGTTGTTTTCCCTTGTGTCTCTTTTCCCTCTATTCAACCCGTGAGTATCAGATTCTCCAGGCCCTCCTTCCTCATTATATGTCCCAGAAAGTCCAGCTGCCTCTTTCTGATGTTAAGTATAAGCCTTAAAGGAAATGAATAAACAGGAAGTAGCGTGATGACTATAGGGATCACTGTTCACTCTTCTTGTCTCTCCATTGCTATACATTCACTTTCTCTACTCTCTTACTCTATGGATTACGATGCTCTTCCAATCATTATGGTATTTGGCGATTATTACTTGAACAAGTATTACTAGTGCGGTTATTATTGGAAGGCATTACTACTAGTACTGGGGTCTACGAATCTTGAATATAAGGAGCATTTTGGGGAGTGATAACGAGCTTTCGCTTGACATAGCAAAAGTGACAAGCGAAGCTGTTCAATTTCCCAATAAAAGGACAAGAAAAGAGAATAAGGAAAGAAAAAGAAACTAAAAAAGATTCGAAAGATGGAATTAGGAATGAAAGATGAGAATCAGAAGAGAAAAAAGGTAAAAAGAAAATGAATAAGACAGAAAGAAAGGACATAGGAAGAAGAAACGATACTAAAGAAGAAGAAAAAAAAGAAGGAAAGAAATAAGAATGAGAAAAAGAAAAGAGGATGAAGGAAAAAGAAAGAAAGATGGAATAAAGAAGGCAAGTACAAACGAAAGAAGAAAGAGAATTATCAAGGAAGAAGAGACAAAAAATAAATAAATAAAAGAATTGGAAGAAAATGAGAGAATTTTAAAACTCAGAAGCGAAGGAAGGAATGAAGGAAATAGTGAACAACCATCGAAAAGGAAGAACGGGGAGACAGAATGAAATTAAGGAAAAAAATTAAGAAGGAAAGAATAGAGAAGCAAGAAAGACGAAGGAAAGGGAACTTTCAGAAACAAAAGAGAGTAGAAAAGAAGAAGAAAGGGAACGATCAAGAAATCGAAGCATAAAAATTAGGAATGAAATTGAGGAAGAAAGAAAAAACGAAAGAGGAAGAAAGAGAACGACGAGGAAAGAAAGACGATTGAAAGAAGAGGTTGAAGCAAAAAGAGGTTGAAATGAAAGAAAAAGAGGAAAAGAAGCGCGAAAGAGAATGAAGAAGAAAGAAGGGACATATGAAGAAGACAAGAGAATGACTGAGACAGACGACTCAAATAAAAAAAAAGAAAAGAAAAGAAAAGAAAGATCGAATTAATAAAAATGACGTTATTAACCGAAGGAAAACGAAAAACGTAAATACGATGAGAAAATAAAGATAAAGATAACACGTGTGAAAACGAGAACGGATTTATTTCTCCTTTTCGAACGGCATTAACGCGAAATTAATTCCCAGAATTATCGGCCAAACACACACCGCTGAACACAGGTCTTAGCGGAATATAGCAAAGAAAGGAAACGAGAAAAAAGGAAGCCTCACTGCGCACGCGCAAGTGTCGAAAGAAACTCGGTACGTTGCCCGCCTGAGCAGCAAGCCGAAATGGTGTGAGCTAAGCATATTTGTGACGCTCGGATTAGCAGCGTATCACACAGGATTTTAATATTCAAAACTTTGTTATGGCAATTACCTTTTGAAGATTCGATACCAATTTAAAATGGAAGACGATATCGCTTTTTTGAGCGGGTAAAATTCAGAATATCAAGAGGTGAATGGAGCGATCAAAGTAGACAATAAGGATTGATAAAAACGATTCAGGTTGAATATATACAGTCCAGTTTGTACTTCTCAAAATTAAGAGTTATCAAAGTACACAAATAATCGATCTAGATTTCCGATATGGGGTATTGTAACTATTTTCAGTATCCATATCGGTTCGACTGTCGTACTCAACATTATTGCCATATTTTCCCTGTTTCGGCCATTATACGCTCAGGTCTTCTTCAGGCTCTGTCTATATTTCTGGGGTGAGGTATTGTAACTATTTACACTTGCATCCTTCAGTGTGTTGCCCTCATCTTAATTATCATATTCACGACGTTTCGACGGTTGTACGCTCCGATGTTCTTCAGGATCTGTCTATATTTCTGCGATAAGGTATTGTAACTATTTACATTGTTCGGACTGTTGTCCTCATCTTTGTTGTCATATTCACGACGTTTCGACTGTTGTACGCTCAGGCTTTCATCAGGCCCTGTCTATATTTCTGAGGAGGGGTATTGTAACTATTTACAATATTTACATCGTTCGGCGTGTTGTCCTCTACTTTGTTGACATATTCACGACGTTTCTGCCGTTGTACGTGCAGGACTTCTTCAGGATCTGTCTATATTTTTGCGATGAGGTATGGTAACTATTTACATTGCTCGGACTGTTGTCCTAATCTTTGATGTCATAGTCACTACGTTTCGTCTGTTGTACGCTCAGGCCTTCATCAGGCACTGTTTATATTTCTGAGGTGAGGTATTGTAACTATTTACACTATTTACATCGTTCGGAGTGTTGTCCTCGTCTTTGTTGTCATATTCACGACGTTTCGGCCGTTTTACGTTCAGGCGCTCTTCAGGAGTTATATGATGGAATTTCGAATTGAACCTCTTATTTAGTCCACGGAATAGACAATTCTAGTTCCAAGTGATAGAAGAAAGAATAACTGGTAATCTCAGTTATCTCCCTTTAGTAACTCAATTCGCCAAGTTTTTGTCCACTTCAGCTAGCTACAGAACTCACAACACTTTGGGTCAAGTTTGTTATATAACGTAACTATGAATACTAATGGGTATGTCCCAATCCTCATAAATACACTGGACACTATTGTAAGTGGCGGTAATATGCTGTATAAGTAGTCCACCAATAGCAGTGGTTTACCTACTTCATGCCGCTGGCGAGTATTGTATTTTGTTGATGTTATAAAGATTACCATTTCATTTCCAACTTCAGTTTTGTTTATTCCTCATTCAATAACCTTTTCTAGTTTACAACAATAAAAAGAAGACAAAGAAAAAGAAAAAGAATATAAAGTCGAAGACAAAAAGAAGATAAAGAAAGAAAGAAAAGGGAGCAAAGAAAGAAAGAAAAATGAGCAAAGAAAAGCGTGCAAAGAAAAGTGTGCAAAGAAAGAAAGAAAGAAAGAAAGAAAGAAAGAAAGAAAGAAAGAAAGAAAGAAATAATAGTGTTTATATAAGCCAGGAAGAAATTCAGCCTGTTAAGTCGGTAGGTGAAGAAAGAAAGAAAGTTTTATATTCCGTATCTATGAACACTAATGGGTATGTCGTAATCCTCATTATTGTAAGTGGCGGTAATATGGTGTCCAAGTAGTCCACTAATAGCAGTGGTTTACCTACTTCACGCCGCTGGCGAGTATTGTATTTAGTTGATGTTATAAAGGTTACCATTTCATTTCCAACCTCCATTTTGGTTAGTAAAAAAGAAGATAAAGACAAAGAAAAAGAAGATAAAGCCGAAGAGAAAAAGAAAAAGAAGATAAAGAAAGAAAGAAAGAAAAGTGTGCAAAGAAAGAAAGAAAGAACTAAACAAAAAAGAAAAAAAAGAAAGAAAGAAAGAAAGAAAGAAAGAATAGTGTTTATATAAGCCAGCAAGAAATTCAGCCTGTTGTCGATAGGTGAAGAAAGAAAGAAAGAAAGAAAGAAAGTATTATATTCCGTACCTCTGAACACTAATGGGTATGTCCTAATCCTCATTATTGTAAGTGGGGGTAGTATGGTGTCTAAGTAATCCACCGCTAGCAGTGGTTTACCTACTTCATGCCGCTGGCGAGTATTGTATTTTGTTGATGTTATAAAGATTATCATTTCATTCCAACCGCCATTTTGGTTAGTCCTCATTCAGTAACCTTTTCTAGGTTACAACAAAGTCACTTTTGGATTATTTCAGACAATGCTTTCATCTACTGGGTCATATGCCATGTAAGAATAACCCTGCAAAGGAAAAAGAGACACGTAATTTTAAGCTTGTAGTGACGGTTTATTCAATGAAATTTGACGACAATATATGACGCGTTCAGTGGAGGAGGGACAAATTCAAGATTTGATAATTTTGAGGCAATACGAGCTTAATGGTTTTAGCAGTTTTGATCAACATTTCTTTTCATGGTTAGCTGCAAGGAATTATAAAATTTGGGACTAACGAACACTTAAGTAAAATAATAATAATATTTATGAAGAATTTATTACAGGAAATATCAGAAATAGAAAGAGGAGGGGGAGAGCCACATAACCGGAGGTAAAGAAAGAAAGAGAAAGACAGGGAAGAGTGAGGAGGGGAGAAGAGAGAAAGAAAAACAAGAGAGGAAAAGAAAGAAGAATGAAGAGAGAGAGAGAGAGAGAGAAAGAGAGAGAGAGCAGGAAGAAGAGTGAGGATGAGAGCGTGAAAAAAACGAGAGAAAAAAGGAAGAACAGAGAGAGGAGGAGGAGTTATAGAGAGAGGAGGTAAAGAAAGAAGAAAGCGAAAGACAGCGGGAGGAAAAGTAAGGAGAGAAGAAGAGGAATAGGGAGAGGTGATGGAGAACCACAGAGGGAGAAGATAAGAAGAGAAGGCGAGAGTGACAACACGAGAGAGAGAAAACAAGGGAGGTAAAGAAGGAAGAATAGAGAGAGAAGAGGAAGAGGAGGAGGAGGAGGAGGAGGAAGAGAGAGTGCGAGAGAAAGAGGGGGAACAGAATGAGCAAGATGAAAGATAAATAGGAAAGTGAGAGAGAAAGGGGAAGAGAAAATGTAAGTAAGAGAGAGGAAGAGGAAGAAGAGAGGTAGAAGGAGGTACAGAGAGTGAGAGAGTGGGAGTAAGGGAGAGATGAATGGGAGGTGAGAAAGGACGAGAAATAGAGAGTGGGAGTAACAGAGAGGGAGGGAGAAGAAAAGAGTGAGCAGGAGGGGAAAGGAGAGTGAGAGTGAGAGGAAGAGATGGAAATGAAGAAGGGGAGAGGAGAAAGAAAAAAATGAAAAAGAAACTAGGGCAAAATCTTACGCAGCTAAAGACTGCATGTAGAAATCACTTCATGTAAATGAAGACAAAAAATTTAACCCCCCGAATGTCACGTGATATTTTAAACGAGACTTCAGGTCATCCCGTTAAGGACGGTATGACCCGTACCAAATAGTACGAATCAATGAAGCTAAAGAAATGGACAGCCAACATCAAACAAAAAAAAAAAATTTGTTCCATTTGCGCATGCGTCGTTATCCAAATTCCCATTGGCTGAATATTACACGAGAAGGAGAAGAAGAAAATTCTTTGTGCATGACCTAATTTCGAATTTTATCTTTTGCGAATACTTTCCTTAAGGTTTCTGGATAAACATTAAATGTCCAATTTTTTTTTCTTCTTTTTCGTCTCAGTTGAAAAAAAAAAAAAAAAAAAAAAGCAAGTCAGGTTTGGTCGCCGGGAAGTAAAAGTAAAATTCTACGAGAAAAGTCATCTAAAATCGGCATGTGTTTTTTTTTTTAAATAATCCATTTTTTGAGGGAGGTGGGGAGAGAAAAAACAAAACAAATGCATCTGCAACCACCTTCTTCAATGTCCTTTCAGGTCATTGTCGATCATGCCTCTCACAAAATTTCCTGTAAGAGGTGTTACACACCCAAAATTCCGCACACACGCACGCACACACACACGCACGCACCTATTTATATATATGTAACTAAAACCCCGCAAATAGTACTGACTGTTCCACTAATACGATAGTCTAGTCTAGTCTAGTCTCTCTCTCTCTCTCTCTCTCTCTATCTCTCTATATATATATATATATATATATATATATATATATATATGTAAGCAAATATAAATGGATATAGATCCGACAGAATGAAGAAAAATATTTGGAAAAAACAAACAAAAATCCTTAAATGCAATTATATTTATTTTACGTTGACATTTCATTCATATTAAAACAACATAATTGCATTTAAGGATTTTTGTTTGTTTTTTCAAAATATTTTTTCTTCATATATATATATATATATATATATATATATAGCACTTGTCAAAGGGTATCCCCCAGACGAGGCTCTGCCGAAGGGTTAGGGCCTCGTCTCGGGAAACTGACACCGTTTTTACGTGGTCTATAGGTAATTTTTTCCTTGTTTATTTTTACGAGCTTTTCCTTTTCTTTTTTTTTCTTTTGTTTTCAACAAAGCCAGTTTTGGAGTCACTTAGGATTACAATAAAGAACAGAAAAACAGAGAGCTATAATCACCCACCACCTGCAAGGCTATGGCGCGACGAGAGAGGGAGGGGGGAAGAGAAAGAGGGACAGAGAGAGACAGAGAGAGACAGAGCAGCGAAATCGACAAACCTGGCGGACAAAGATTGGAGTCCGTAAAAAGAAAAAGGGGAAAACTTTCACTTCTCTTACCACTCACCAGATGGCGTTTTGGAGATTTTCAGCAAGGACTTATTGCAATTTTTTAAATAAATGCATCAAACTGCCATCTTCACATATTTTTTTTATTTAATTCTGTTTACCAAGAGTTTTTTCATCCAAACCCTTCAAGGGATTCAAATCTACGCCTAATCCAATTTGGGATTATCAGGCAACTTCAACGAATCCCATGGATAATCTTTTCACAAAAAATTAGGTTTTTTTTTTCAACATTAAGCGAAAACTTGATAAAATAAAATGTTATTGCGACCAAAAATCTTTATAGAAGAAAAGGCATAGTAAAGCTACATTATAGCAGCAGGAAATCTATTTAAGCCGATATGCCAGATTAGGACCAATAACATTGCAGATTCTTCTTTAGATTTTGTCAAAAATCTCGAGATGCATAGCAGAAGCACGAGACCAAATGTGGTAGTTGTGTTATCGGTATAGATACCGTCCAGAATTGGAGATTTTGGAAAGAACGTTGATGAAATTTACGAACAACATAAGTTCAAGGATAGTACCATGGAGGACGCCTGCATTAATGTAGAAAGATCTAGAAGAGTGGCCGTTCTAGACAAACATGTTGGTAAATTATTCTCAGTAATATTTGCATGTATTCTGTTCAAGATCCTCATTGCTTTTTGTAGCGTTGCAGCTCAGATCAGACAGCATGTTTCTTCTCAGGGTGCAGCTTATTCCAGTCAAACGCTCGTGGCTTCAATATAAACCTTTAGCCAGATCGTTACAGTAACCAGGCTTTATTCTCGGGAAGCAACATGCAGTGATAAACGAGCGAAGGCGATATGAGGCTAAGGTGAGAGGGGAGGTGAACAGTATAACGAGCGTCATCCCTTACATGTCTCTTGGACTTTTCGCGTGCAGTGGCTACTGTCTTATAGGGAACTTTGTTCTTTGTCTACATAAGTAACTAGCAGTAGAGCCCGGCGTTGCCCGGGGATGTAACAGTAAGAGATAGATCACGTATCGACCATCATAAAGACTGAAAAATAAAATTGACAAAGATTATTGTTTAAGGTTGAGGACACGCATGTCTTAATTAGTTTTTTTTGTTTTGTTTTTTTTTACGAATTGTTCAATCCCAAACTTAAACAAAAACATTGTTTACAATCGTTATGAGTCTATCGATTGATGAATAGAATTTTATTATAAACAATTGTCTTGTAAATGGAATTTTTAAAGGATTCTGAATGTAAAAATAAAGAAAAAAGTGCGCAAGACAATAAGAAACACTACATGCCAAAAGAAAAAAAAAGTGGATGTTTGTCTTATTGGCTGAAAAATGCAAGAAATCCGATCCAATATATAAAGGAACACAACACACACACACACACACACACACACACACACACACACACACACACACACACACACACAACCTGGGTTTTATAACCCGATGTGAGTTGTCCCCCATTCATTCTCACGATGTGTCTTAATCGTGTTTTCAAATAGATTTTGTTAAAAAAAACAATTGTGTTTTTCCCATTTTCGGCGCCGTTAGAACCACCACAAGTTAATTTTATGTAGTCCTGTGAAGTTTTGTTGAAATCGGCTAAAAAATGTAGGAAATCCGATCCAATATATAAACGTACACACACACACACACACACACACACACACACACACACACACACACAATCTGCGTTTTATAATAAGTAAGATTTATCTTCATTCAGTGACTCTCTTTGTCTGATCCGCTTGCTATGTACTTGTGAAAACCGCCTCACTGATGATTATTAAGAAAATGAGAATACATTTTCGAATCCATTTTGTGACAGGTCAGTTGTTTTCCATTTAATCAAATATCTGATATCGCTATATTACTTTAGCGGCCGAATTTTTTTTTTCTCGCGACCCTTGTTTGAGAAGCATAGGTATCCTGTTAGCAGAAATTTACATGGAATTTTTTTATGCCTCTTGATTCCTTGGGGAACACAGGACCGCAACAACACCTCGCCAATGGACGCGGTTCCGGGCAATCCTCTTTAGCTCGGTCCATGTCGTGTTCAGCTCGGCTAATATTGCCTCCATCTCTGCGTCAACACTTCTGCCCCAAGTCTGTTTTGGTCGACGCTTTCCTTGTGGATTCCAGTCAAAGGACTGCCTGGTGACACTAGAAGAAGGCTTACAGTGTGTGCGGCCGATCTATCACCATTTCCGTTTCTCTTTTGCCCTTGATTCATTGGGGAACATAGGGCCCTAACAACACCTCTCCAACGGATGCGGTTCCGGGTGATCCTCTTCAGCTCTTCCCATGATAGATAGATAGATAGATAGATAGATAGATAGATAGATATGAACAGACAGGGATAGATAGATAGATAGATATGAACAGACAGGGATAGATAGATATAAACGCCTCCGGGTTTTCTGCTGCGTTTACTTCCATAGCCTTTTCGATATTTGGATATGACCGCAAGGAAGTGGAGGTTTAAACCCGGATTTTTCTTCTCCTAGATGGACTGCTTTCCTGGGCAGTCTAGCTCTATCTACCCGCAGCAGCTGGTTATGAGTTCATGATTTGATTGATTAGTTTAACGGCATATCAACTCCTTATGGGTCATTTATTTTTGATCATTGAAGTAATAAAAATGTTATTCTGCTATCGCAGTTGAATACATGGTAGATCATACTCAGCTTCCTTGCATTTACATGTTTGTATGATCACAATTACAAGAGACGGTGATATGTGTGTTTTATGTTGTAGTTTTGTGGAAATTATATTTTGCAATACAGTTTGATTTAAGAAAGGATTTTTTCGCGTTGATTGTTTGATAATATTTTAAATGGATTTGGGTGGCGTCACTACAATTTGTTAATATAAACGTATTGTTAGTAATTTTTTATATAAATACGTATTGTTGGTAATTCTATATATAAAAATGTATTGTTGGTATTTTTACTATAAAAATGTATTTTTATACTTTCATAGTGTTTTTATTTGGAGGTTTACTATTTGCCAATAGCTGGGACCCTAACGGGTGCTACCACCCCAAGTCGGAGGTGGGTTCATGATCTTCAAAATCTCCAATCAGATGTCTTGTTGCCGGATGTAGTTTATCGTCTTATCCTGGACTAAATGACGTAATAAGACACGCTATGATAAAACAATATTTAATACAGATATTTTATAATCAACTTCAGATTTTGACAAGTATTTGAAGTTGCTTAATTCGTATAGAAATTGTCTAAATGAGTGGGGTTTTTTTCTCACTCTAATTAATAGAAAAGGAGACAATTCATTGTAGTTAAATTAGTAGAATGGGTATAGTCGTCGAATACAGTATAGTATAATGGGTTTAGCATCTCTTTTTGTTTACTTTGCTTTTTTCCTATTCTTTATTTCTTGTAGATGCTTAATTTTTTTTTGACATCAGTAGTAGAATTTGTCTATATTTCTGAGATGAGGTATTATGTACACTATTTACATTATTCGGACTATTGCACTCATCTTTGTCGCCATATTTATTACACCAGTTGCCATTCAAGGCAGTAGAACCTGGTTTGTCCTGCTATTTACCCATAGCTGGGGGAGAAGAAGAGGCTTCATACCTTTCACAAAGGTATTAGCTCTAAGTGAATGTGATGGAGTTGACTGGAATTCGAACTCGGCTCTCCGATTCCTCAATCCAAGCCGCTATTCATTACTCCAGCGTCAAAACAAATTCACGGATTGGAACCAAAAAATGATCCCAAAATGACGTCAAAATCCGCGAAAATCTTTCATCCTTTAATAGACTATGGTTCTACATTTAATTTGTACTGTATATTAATGTATGTAGAAAAGACGCAAATGTTGTTAAGATAACGAGAATGCAATGCCCGGGACCCCGAATCATGCTTTGAGTTTGTGGATAGTAAGCACCGGCTTTGCACACAATAAATAGAGCAATGTCGCAGCTATTATTGAGTGGCTCTTGGGCCTTGCATTGGGTTAAAGTTATTATTAAAAATTAAGTATCTAGGGTGTTTTTTGTTTTGCTTAAGACTTGTTTTCTCTTCGTTAGTAAAATAGTTTTTCTTTCGAATTCTGCAATAGAAAATAATAACCTCCCCCCATCCCCCCCAAAAAAAAACGAATGAAAATAAACTTGATCGGCCAGCTTCAGAATTAATAGCGCGTGAAGCGGCCATCTCTCAGGTGTTTCTTACTTTGCATTTTAATGGGGCGGCAAAGGTCTTTATTTGCAAGTTCTTATCGTAAAGGCAACGCCAAGTCATCTAGTACCGATCAACGAGCACCATGGGAACATTTAAAAAGAGACGGTTTCCTTTTTTCTTTGTCTCAATATCTCTCTCACACACTATCTATCTATCTATCTATCTATCTATCTATCTATCTATCTATCTATCTATCTATCTCACTCTCTATCTCTATCTATCTATCTATCTATCTATCTATCTATATATATATATATATATATATATATATAAAATGAACTAAATTGTTCAATAAATAGAGCAATGTCGCAGCTATTATCCCGAAAGTTGCACGTCGGATCAGTTCTTTTTAAATCAAATATGTGGTGCACTTCAATTTATATTACATGAATCATTCATACAAAAACAGATTAATGATATAAATGGCGAGAATACATCTTCGCAAACAAAATGGATGTTAAGGCTGGTTAAGGCAGTGGAGAACTTGGAAAGGCGAATTAACAAGAGATAACTGATAACTGACATCCATTAGACATGGCACGTGGAACTAGAACAGTCTACCCCAGTGAGCGAAATAAAGGTTATAGTTCGACATTTCAACTACCTGAAGAGGGGGTGCGTACAACGGCCGAAACAGTGTAATAAATATGGCGACAAAGATGAGGACAATAGTCCGAATAATGTAAATAGTGTACATAATACCTCATCTCAGAAATATAGACAGATACTGAAAGGCCGAAACGTTGTAATAATTATGGCGACAAAGATGAGGACAATAGTCCGAATAATGTAAATAATGTACATAATACCTCATCTCAGAAATATAGACAGATACTGAAAACAAATATTAGTAAAAAATAATAATAATGGCCGACAAAGTTTCCTTTAATAAAAATGAAGATGAAAGTAAATAAAACTAAAAAATATAATAATGGCAAAGAAAAATACTTGGTAATGGTTGAAAATTCTTCATCTGATAAAAATGAAGATGAAAATATATACTAGTCAAAAATTAATATTAATGGTTGGAAATTCTTCATCTAATAAAAATGAAGATGAAGGTATATACTTGTCAAATATCAATAGTAATGGTTGACAATTCTTCAATAAAAATGAAACTGAAAGTACCTAATAGTCAAGATTTAATATTAACGTTTGTCAATCCTTTATTTAACAAAAAATGAAAATAAATTCATGTCAGAAAATTAATTATCATGGTTGGCAATGATTCATCCAATAAAAATAAAGACAAATGTAAACATTACCAGCAAAAATTATTAATAATAATGAAATATTTGATGAAATATAAAATTAAGATGAAAATAAATACCAGTGGGAAATTAATAATGGCTGACTACTTTTAATAAAAATAAATAAATTATAAAAATAAATTAAAATAAAAAGGAAATAAATGCGAATAATAAAATTAATAATGACAATTATTTTATCATTTTTGTTTTGTTTTTTTAAATTTACGTACATTTTTCGATTCATTCTTTTCCTATTTTTCATGTCTTCCTTAAGATTTGCTTTTAGCATCGTTACGTTTCATTGACTGGCTCGCCCAAATGGACTTTCTTTATTTATGCATGGCTACCGAGTGCAAGCGTATATTCCGACCGCCATGTTTTTTTTTTTATTATTCGTTTCCTCTTTTCGTTCTTGCCAAACGGAGCACAAAACAAGATGGGGTCGGATTGAATACGTGCTAAGTAGCAGCCAGATATCGCTCCTAGGAAGTGCAGCGAGGAACTAACTGCTTATATATTGTCATGGTTCTTACTGCAAGTCGCAAGCCAAAAAAAAAAAAAAAAAAAAAACATTAAGGAAATGTTTCTACGTTGATCTTAGTTCGAAGCTATTTGGGCCCAGCGCATTGAAAATTAATCAGCCGAGGAAAAAAAAAATCACATTTTGAATTCTTTGTGTAAAACTACTTACGACAGGACTTAAAGAGACGAAAAGAAATATATATATATATATATATATATATATATATATATATATATATATATATATATATATATATATAAAACATTAGATTTATTTTCCCTTTGCTGATATTTTAAGTCCATTTTAGGAGATTAAATCTTATCTTGTTTGCATCTCATTATTCTCGGTCTAACTTTTAGTGAGAATTTTTATGATACTATCGATAAAAGAATCAACGTCAACAAGTAATATATTTAATCTTCTCTGTCTATATAGCTCTCATTCTGATAATATTCCTTGAAATAGGACTAAGATTAGGTTAATACTGCTTTCGCTAATTCCCTGACTTCATGAATTTAAGCGCTCAACTAGGCTAGCATCTCGCTCTCACCCTTTCACTGTTGAAAATGTTAAACGTAGCCGTCTCTTCTACTCCAATAGCTTCATATCTCGCACCTCTCGCCTGTGGAACTCCCTCCCCATTTCTTGTTTTCCTGATAGCTATAATCTCCATCTATTCAAATGTAATGTCAATTGACGTCTCCAGATGCCCTGATCTATCCCCTATCCTTCTCATCATCCTTTCCTCTATCCCTCATATCTGCTCTCGCTACAAATCTCTTTAACCCCTTGCGTGCTAGTGGCTTCCCGCTTTGCTTGGGGTGAAACGCTTAAAAAAATTACTTTAATAAGGGAAATTGTCTAAAAGTTTCTAAATCTTTGGTTTTCTAAACAAATCTTTCTAAGTTGGCTTTATAAATTTTGGCTTAAATCCGGCCTCTTTCTGAGCCATTTACTAAAGGTATGGGCACATAGCTGAGTGGTTAGAACTATGCATTCTCACCATGAGATCCGTGTTCGAATCTCACCATGGCCGATTTTTCAGCTCAATCCCAGAGTGCGACAACTTTTGAAAGTGCCTGAACACTATACCACGGGTTGACTCAAGACTTGTGAGTGAAATTGGCTAAACGGAATCCTTACGGGCCGAAGATAGCTGTTCTAGCACGAAGTCACGAGTCATCGTGGCCGAGGTCTTACATCACCGTAATTTTTTCATTATACTTTTGAATGCAAAACGGTTTTGCATTTAAAAACAAAATGAAAAAATTAGGGTAATGGATGACAGCGCACATCTTTATATAAATACTTATATTAATGAACAACATATAGTTTTGTACTACTTGCACCCCTGAAGATGATCTTGGAAAAAGATCGAAAGTACTTGAGAAATAAAAATAAAAGAAATTTAAACAGCTATAGCACATTTCTCTCATCTTTTTGCATCATTATTTGTGAGTATGAACGGATTTTGTTAAAAATTAGCAGACATAATGTCTGTAATTTATTCAGTCGGGCATACCTAAAAGAGAATTTGCTGCCTAATTACACACACACACACACATATATATATATATATAGAAAGAGAGAGAGATAAATAGATAGATAGA